AAAACTATAGATCCACCCAGGAAATATGCATAATAACACACAGCTTTACTGCTGGGGACAGGCAAGCTTTCTTATGGAGGATTTTCAAAGTGCTCTATCAATTTCATAACTTCCCTGAAACCATGGTGTTTCTATCTCTTACTACATTTTCTGTGGGGAGAATGTTGCCTTTAATAACATGTTCTTTCTAAAGCAGTTGATCATCTCCATTTTTAAGCAAAAGGAAGTGGAATTGTAGATTGAGCTCTGAATCACATGTTGTTGGATCATATTTTCTGAATTGTCTTTAAAAATCTTCTTCCTCCATAATACTGGAAAGTCACAGATAATTTCAATATTTTTAATCCTGGAAATTGAGGTCATACTCCCAAGATCTGTTGTATACTTATGTGGGGGAAACTCTAAATTAGAAACCAGGTTTGTCCATGTTTGTGTCTTACAAGGAGTTCAGTATTTCCCAACCATTCCTAAGATTTCTTTCACCCATGAAAGACAGTGGAGTCCATAAAGGAATTAACACTTTTTCAACATGTCTGAGGCCAGAAGGAATGGGTTTGATAACCAGATATCCATTTTGTAAAAGGAGGAATTTTTTCCTTATTAATTTTTCTATGAAATAAAAATAAATCATAAATAATTTTCACCCTTACTATGATTTAATTGGACTCCTTGCACACGATTGTCTCTCATTAGATTGTTAGGCCAATTTCTTTTTAAAACATGAAATTACAGGATTCAGAAACAGCTGACAAAATCAAATTATAATTGACTATTACAGATTCATCAAGTTGGCTTTATTAAGCCTTTGTTAAACTCTCAAATGATAGCTTTAAAAAAAGTATGCCTCTTCAGCTTTCATCCCTGTATAAAAAGGGTACCCACCATGTACATTCTTTCAGAGATAAGATGTTGTCTCAAATCCAAGTTACTCTAGCAAATATAGTAAGATGGTACTCTGTGTGCATCTTGTGAAAGGGACTGTAGTAACCACTCTTGATGTGTTGGCTTGAGTAGGTCCTCAACTTCTGAGTGGCCAAATAGGAAGGGAATTTGTGCATTTGGAGTAGTTGCTTTGGATGACTTTTAAGGAATTCTCCAGACCTGAGATTCAATTTGGGTCTGTTAAGCAGACACCACGTGTATTTGATTATGGGTTGAAGCCTAGAAAGAATAGAGTGTGGTGGGTAAGTGTGTGAGACAGCTGAGCCTGTATCCATAAATTCCTTTTCTGGGCCACTGGGCCACTGGATTGTACACTGGGCCAGAGTGTACAATCTGGAAGCTGAGGAGAAAACTAAATGCCTCATCTCACAGAATGAAAAAACCATATAATATTTACTTATGAAAAAATTGAGCATTTGGTTATATGAAAGGTTTGAGAATTTTAATTATGCCCCCAAATTCAGCCCTTTATCACACTGATTTATTTAGGGATCTCAAGGTTAATAGTATAGATATGTCCAGGTACAACTTTATCCTATTTACATAAAGAAACATTAAAAATCCAAGATATCCTTTGTAACAGAATCAGAAGTTTAGTAGTTGAACAGAAGAAAATGAGGAATAGCCTATTAAACCTCCCATTTCTTTTTAGCAAATGGCCAAAAGAAGCAGAAGTGAACGGTGACCTTTTTTAGAACTCTGTAAGTACAAGATTGCTGCTGGTCAAAAATAAGGAAATTCGGTTTTTACTATTTCTAGAAGCTTCTGAAGAATACCTATCTAGTCACCATAAAAAACACTACCTTCGTAATTTAGCCACCAGATGGGAATTCTCTCAAACGGGAAAGGCAGGCAATGAACTGGGGTTGACTTTGGGGCTATTAAAAAGCCTCTGGCAATTTAAATCGATAAGGTATCAGCTTATGATGAACAGCTATTTGGTTACCAGCATATAAAAGAAAAAGAAAAAGCTAAATCACAGCAAATGGGAAAATGCTGAATATGGATTCATTTATCCAACCGGCCTTAGGCCAAATGGACATTATATGAATCTCCCCTTCAAAAGGCTTATAATAAAGTGCACCAGTTCATCAAGTACAGAAATCCAAAGATTTGAACATTTGTCCACAATGCATGGGGCTGTTTGTTAGGGACTGCCTCTGAATAACCAACCGCAGAGTCTCTCATTGCAGAAGAGAACTGTCCATTTGCAAGTGAAGGCAGCTCTTCATATCCCTTAAATGTTAAAGATAATGAAATGAATTCTGGACAGAGAAACTCACACAAGTGATTACACATACCAAAAAAAGGCAGATTCTGGGATAGAATTCCTGAGACAGACGGACCCTGGGTCTGATCTTATCAAGAAATTCTGAGAGTCTCTTTATTTTGTGTTTCCCCTGGAATTTAGTTCCATAAAACTTCTAAAAACAAACAGAAAACTCAGAGTGAATCAAAGTCACTTGAGAATAGCTGCAGGCTGGTGGGAAATGGGCTTCTGTTGGTCCCAGGTTCAGCGAGGCACTTTGAACAAACCAGGAACTGCAGTAACAAAACACAGCTTTCAAAGGGTAAGATCAACCAACAGTGTGATCAGACCCGTCTCACGAAGAACCAGTTCAGCGGTGAGACAAACAGCACAGAGAGAGCCCGGATAGAAAAAAGAGCCCAGAGCTACACTCATGTACCGTTTTCCACAGCTCTTTTGTTTCCTTCACTGGGTCTGCTTTGACTTTTAGACACTAGTTTTCATGCTATGTTCCACGAGACTGTGGAAGTCCACGAACATCTCTTTACGAGGTCCTTTAAAGACAGCGGGGATATTTTCAGTGTGCCTCGCTTCTATCATTTTCAGCTACCTGAAGCGTGACATTCATAGAGCATGGATATCATCCATAACGTTGCATTTCCCCTCCGATGGTTTGATAAGCTGTGATTTAATTAGCAGAGATGCCAGCGGCCCGTGGCTGTGCAGAGGCCAACAGTGTGGATGTTTGACAGCATGTGTCAGTGACTTGATCGGGGGGTGCTCAGGGCTGTGTGGCTCTGGAGGAGAGCAGGCTACACGAAAGCCGTTGACATGCACACGTTTTTGACTGGAAGGCCCATCAGAAGGCCTAAATGGACCCCACAGGAAGCAGAAGTATTCTCTTAGAGTGAATCACCATTTAAAATCAATGCTGGAGAATAAATAAGGCACTAGGTTGTGTGTGACACAGAAATCTAAACTATGGTCTCGAATTGTGTTTGCATTCCTTTTCGTACTCCCCTTTGGGAAATAACTGCTGGAATATTTATGGAGAAAAACAATGGAAGTTAGCAGTTAGCCTCTTGCTCCTAATTTCTGGCAAGGACATCGTCGGATTGTCTCGAATTAAAGTGTTTTTGCTTTGCCTTCTTTCCCTCTTGGGAAATAATTTGTGGTGTGTGTGTGTTGGGGGAATGGAAGTTGTTTGTCTATTTAGCATAGACACAGAGTCGGTAAGAGAGGAAGGCCACTCCTAGAGGGGTAGATAAAGCATCCAAATGCAAAAGGAAGTTCTGCCGAATTAAATGCTCTCTTAGGAGACCTGAGACCCTCTCTGTGAAGGGGCTGTTTTCCTGGCTGCCTGGAGGCCAGCGTTGCCTCCTGAAGTCAGTGGCCTGGCTGAGGTGGTGACCATTGGGCCAGGGAGGGCCCTGCTGCTGCTAGTCTCCTGGTGGCACGAAGTCCCAGGACACGGTTCCTGGTGCCACCTTACTGATGGGCTCAGCACAAAATGGCAAAGACTGTCATTTTATAAAGGACACAGTTCTATCACATGCAACAGCGAGGGACAGTGAAAGGGGCCCCATGACGCCAAGCCAACACTTGTCCCTTGGCTGTGACACACACTTCAGGAGACAATAGTTTCTTCCCTTCACATGCCCTTTCAAACCTACCCCGGTTGCTCTTCTTTGCCCGGGATTGAACTTGGGATGTTTGTTTGTCTCCATGCCTACCCTGCTTGTTCTTTTGTTTTCTTTCTTTTTAAAATCATTTCCAAAACCACCTTTACTTTACCGAGATGATTGGCAGGATAACCCCCCTACTCAAATGAGGATTGGGGATATGGTAAATATTTAGAGTCTTATGGCCTGGCCACTGGTGGTGAAGAATATCATTAAGAATCTCCCCATCTTTCCTGGCTGTCTTCACTGATGGGTCATACATCCAGTAAAGCCTACCTTGGAAGCAACAAGAGAGAAGCTATGTCATGTGACCAATAGCTGACCCACAACAGCCCTTCTACACCAATGGAACCCACTGGATGAGACTCAGAGCTTCTTCCATCACTCTGCCTGGCGTAGTAGAAAGCAAGTCTCTAGATAGAAAAGATAAGAACTGAGATTGCTTTTCCTTGCTCTGAAAACACACGCATGTGCCAGTCCTCAAGAACGATCCTTAGCACAATGTCTCGTTTTGTAGGGATGTTACTTATGACAAAGTGACCCAACAAAATGTTCCATCAAAATGATGACAATCCTGATCTCCAGCACGGTTTCTGAATTCCTGCGTCCACTCACATTTACAGCTGGAGGCTGTGATCTGTTTTCCCTTATAGGCTCCCTGTGAGAACCCGGTATTGATTGTTTCAGGGTACCACAAAGATTAGTTCGAGAAAAAGATTATACATCACAATGCTTAGCATTTATATAGTTTTTTTGATTTCAAAACAAGTTATAAATATTTCCTACTGTGACAACATCTACGCGAGGTAGGTGAGTATGACTGTCTCTACGTTACCAATAGAAACCCAAGGCCAAGGAGTGCAGGATTCTGTTCCAGGCCCGAGGGGGTCAGGAGTGACCTTGAGACTGGCATCCTGGTGGCCACCTGCTCTGGGCTCTAAAAGGGCCATGCCTGTCTCTAGGGTGGCAATGGTCTTCATTAATATAGGGTTATATATTGTATAGATATAAAACGCAACACACATTATAGAACAATAATCCAATATTTTTGTTTCTTAGTAAAATATGTGAAGCACAGTATTTAAATTGCATTTCTCTGAAAAGCATTTGGTATATTAAATAGCTCTATAAAGTTTTGCTGGCATACTCTTAACAGCATAATGAATGATTCTAAAGAAATTAAAATCCACAGATGCATAGAGATCTTTCCTTTATAATACCATAAGCTAAACAAAAAAAAATGTGAAAAACTACTTTATTCTCATAATGCAGATCTAATCACTTGCTGGGTATTCGCAGGTAGCTACCTAATTTTTCTGAGCTTGAGAGAAAAGATACATATTGCTGGCTGTGGTTTTAAACCATTAATTTGAGGGGAAAATGCAGTTGAAAGGTGAAAATTAAAGACTGCTATTCCCATTTGATACCATTCTGAGGGAATTCATACATTTTCAAAAGAGGTTGCCATATTTGGAACTAGCATGGAGGTGAACAGAGGGACACTGATGCTAAGAAGAACATTCTCTGAGAAGAGGAAAAAATGGTACCAAGTGAAAGGTACGGTATTCGAAGAAAATGAACAAGGAGGCGAAAGAGTGGTTTTCAAGAGCCTGGCATGAGATGTCAGCTGTTCATGCTTGGATGACTGCACGGGTCTTGGAGACAGTTTATGGGGTCAATACTTGGCTTGATCAGTCCCTTGGCTGTGGTGAAAGCCTCACTCACCTCTCTAAGAAGCAGCTCTCAGAAGAGTGTGAAAGCATTTACCTCATGCTAAGCTTCGTAAGAACCGACCAGGTGGGTCGGCAGAAAAAGTTCTAAAACTAGGAAGTCTTAAAATCTGTATGCAAACGTAAAAACTAACCTCCAAGCTGAAATGACATTCTCTGTCAGGAGTAACAAATACAAAAGTCCTAAACTTCATGTACACGCTGCTAAGATATTGTTGGATAAGATATTACATGGCGGTCGGAGAATATTTTTGTGGAAGTGTGCTTTTTCCCTAAAAAAAGACATATTAAATTGTTTTTTTTTTTTCTCTCCTCAAGTCCTTTATATAGAAGTAGGAAAGATGAGCTGTCCTGTCAGTTCTTTCCTTCACGTTATGCACTGGCGGGGTCCTTCGAGCTGGTGCTGGACATGGCAGTTTGGTTGCTGGGGGGTTTGAGTCTGAACAGGTTGGAGCAGTTCGGCTGTTTGGTCGGCTGCAAGGTCCTGGCATAGGGTGAGTACCAGTCCCTCTCAAACACATCCTTCAGCTGCTTGATGATGCTCCTGTTGTTCCTCACATCTGCTTGGTTGATAACCAGGCCTGTGCCAGCATTCTGGGTAAAATCGTTCCCTACCCAGTCAAAATTGCCTGCAAACAAACAAAGCAGAGAATGGGGTGCCGAGTTAAGATCCATGGCAGGGGGGTGGTTAATTCCCCATTTAATGAAACACCGAGCAGATCCTATTAAAAAAAAAAAATGACAGGGAGATTGAATTGTGTTGACAGCTCAGGAAAAAAAAAATTTCCAAGAGGACTTACATATGGTATATTAATATTTGCATATTAGTTTGGCATTTTCTTCAGTTTTGCTCAACTTGAAACTCAAAACAAGGAATCTGCTGGGTTTTTTTGGTAACTGTTATTTCTTACTGACATTCACAAGACACACTAAATACAGCAACATTTAAAATATATAGGAATACACTTAAAAATCCTGTGAACAATTACTACCTTCTCACAGAGACAACATCTGATCCATATGTACAAATGAGGGATTCTAATTACAATGCTCACAAGCTTGCACATCAAAGAAAAGGCTGAAGCCAGAGAAGGAGGATCAGTTCCCATCTGAATAGATAAACTCTCCTTGCTCGGGTGGTAAATCATTTCCCGGTTCCAGAATCTGGCTCGTCGGCCCAGGAATCAAGGCAGTTGCTATGATAGTAGGCTCTAGGCTCCCCAGCATGCAGCTTGGTGTTGGGTAGTGTAGTAGTTTGCTAAGGCTGCTGTAACAAAGGTCCACAGACTGGGTGGCTTAAGTAAGAGAAATCTATTGTCTCATAGTTCTGGAGGCTAGAAGTCCAAAATCAACTGTTGGCAGGGTTGGTTCCTACTGAGGGTTGGGACAGAGAATCTGTTCAGGGCTGCTCCCTTGGGCCTGTAGATGCCCAGCTTCTCCCCGTGTCTCTTCACATTCTCTTGCCTCTGTGCATGTCTGTCTCTGTGTCCAAATTTCCCTTGTTTATAAGGGCACCAGTCAAACTGGATCAGGGCTCACCCTGATGACCTCATTCTAACTTGATGACCTCTGTATGGACCCTGACTCCAAATAAGGTCATGTTCTGAGGTACTGGGAGTTAGAACTTCCAACATACGAATTTTGGGGGGACATGGTTCAGGCCATAGCAGGTGGAATCTGTCCCAGAACGGGCCAATAGTATCTATGTCACTCATGTGTAGTCCATCTTCAAGGTGAGAGTAGATAAAAGGAGAGACTACCCCAAAGTCCCACACAAATCTCCTATCTTGGCATCCATCAGGGAGAAGGTTCTAGTGGGAGAACAAAGTTTTCTCCTCAAGAGGGTCCATTCCATTCATTTCTTTGATCTTTTTGTCCTTCATTTAATGCACATTTACTGAGTGTCTAATGTCTACCAGGTGGGTACCTGGGGCCATGATATAAAACAGAGAGTGACGGTCCCTGACTTCAAGGCATTCAGGAAGGAAACACAATGATTATAACACAGAGATATGTATGTGTACAATGCCATGAGGGTAAGGGAAAAGATTTCCAACTCTGGCTGCATGAGTCAGGAAAGCATTTTGTTGAGTAATGAGAGATACACAGAAACATCAGTTAGGAAGTTAGAGAGCCACACCCGCAGAGGGATGTGGACAAAAATATGATCAGGATCTTGGAGCATGAGTGGGGAAGAGTTAGGGTTGAAGTTGGGATTTAAAGACCTTAGTGGGGCGGGGAGAGAATCTGTCCTTTATTAAGTGCCTACTATGAGCAAAGCACTAGGCTTGGCATTTGTATCTGTCATTATCTCTCACAGTTGGTAGGATTTATACCCACTCCACAGACGAGAAGCCTGAGGCTCAAAGAGGTGAACAGATTTGATCAATGGTGGACCCAGGTCTCCACGGGCTATCTTTAATACCATAAGCGAAGCAGTGTTCTCACTAAAAAAGATTTCATGAATTACCACTAGCCTGGGTTTGGTCTCAGCTCCCAGTTTTGTGCTCTCTTTGGTTCAGAGCTGGTTTCATAAAGAAAACTGAAGGCGTGTTAAGTGTAGAGCTTGATTTCCAGGCCTTCAGTGGGTCTTCAGCCATCACTGCAGGAATATTTGCTGAATACGACACTGAACCTCCTTGGCCCAAGGCCCTGCAGCCATTTGTGTGGGAAGAGACATCTACAGAGAGCTGATACCTGTTCCTTCATAGCGCTCATCCTGTGGGCCCTCCTCCACTCTCTGGAGTCTCCCCACATATCAACTTCCCTTTCCATCTGGCACTTCCTGGAATAGAGGAAGTGGTTTCCTTGTCTCTCATTGTACTCCTTGAGTTTATTCCTCACGGCCTTATACCGGGTCCCTATATCAATATTATCAGCACTAGAGAACAAACTCTTCTCTCTCTCTGTCCTCTATCTCCTACTGTCTCCTGCCATTCCCCAAACACACACTGTTCCCCCTGATGGTTTCCTGACAGACATAACGTTGGATGAATTTTACTGCTATAAATGAGGGAACTGTCCACCAAAGGTTCAGGATACTGCATTGGAATCTCTGCCAGTGCTGTGTTTCTGACCAGGTGCTCTCAGACACAGGGCCATGCTCAGAGGCAGTGGCTTTGTGCAATGCTCAGTGCCAGGTAAATACAGGCTTGGACGTCTTAAACTGGGGATTAGTAGAAATTGCAGGTTAAGAGTTATTTTGGAACCCACTGGCAGGCAGCACCTTCGAGTCATCCCATAAACAGAAGACTCCTGTGCTCTTGCATGCCTTTTGAGGACTTGTGGAGAAGATGCTAAAGTCTTGTCCCCACAGCTGAGTGTCAGGCAGTGAATTCATTATCTCATTACATTATCTCATTCAATATTCACTGCAATCCTATGAGGTGATAATACTCACTCCGTTGTACTGATGGGGACATTAAGGCACAGAAAGGTTAGGTAATTTGTCCAAGACTGGAGTGAAAAAAAATTAGAGCTGAGTTTCAAAGCCAGGTCTGACCCCACAGCCCACACTCAACTTCTGTTCCATGTCACCTCCAATCCTAAAGGCCTGCATGGTACTAACTGTACATTTCCCCCTCCTCCCCACCCCACAGACTTCAGCATCAGCCACTAGGGCTGGAGCACTGGGCCACACTGAACTACTCTCCTCTGGGGACCACACTCTCTGAAGGACACAGAGATGGAAATATGCTTTGGGGGCAGCATGAGGAGACAGAAAGATAAGGGGAGAGAAGTGACAAGATTTTGGAGCCTTATTTTGGGAGATTCAGCTTTTCCCTTCAGTACAATGGATGGAACCAAGATCCTGCACCCATGATTCTCCAAAGCTTTAATTAGGTTCTTCTCCAGAATTCCAACACTAGGCAGCTTTCTCAGGCCTGCAGAGGCAATCCTCCACCAGTGTGATCATGTTTTCCCACTTTTCACTTCCTCAAGTTTTGGCTCAACTTCAGAATCACATACCTGCTTCAGTATTTTCTCAACTGGGACACTGTTCCACTCAGTGCTGAGACTGCCATCTCAGCTTCCCAAATGCATGTGTCGGCCCAGGTGGCAGGAGAACTATAGGGTCCTCCCCAGGAACAACGGCACGGGTGTAGACAAGCTCACTGGGAAGGTATATGTGCCTCAGTGAGCCTTCTCAGTGCCTCCAATTAACCTACCACCCCCTTGTCGGCCCTCAAACAATTTGAATCATCTTCTGGACAAATGTGCCAAGCCAGATTCAAATATACTCCAGAGAATTCAAAATTAGAGAGATGATACTGTTTGGGAAATCTGTTAAGTCTTATGAAGATTTAATGAGCTATAATTCCATGCAAGGTCTAGTGTGGATTTTTCTTAATTCAGCATTCTCAGCTGGTGTCTGAGTGACGACTTAGATTTCCAGAACATGCTGATAATCATTTAAATTATCAATGAATTTTCTCTCTGGATGCTCTTTAAATATTTTTATACAAGAACTATGCCTCGCTCTAGGGAATTAATGTTTTGCCAGAAAGCTGTGTGTAAAATGAACTCATTTAAAAATGCATTATAACAGAAAGCCAGAAATAGACCCTTGTAAATATAGTCAACTGATCCTTACAGAGAAGCAAAGGCAATGTGAGGGTGCAAAACTAGTCTTCTCAACAATGGTGCTGGAATAACGACATTCACCTGCAAAAAAAGGGAATCTAGACACAGATCCTACACCTTTAACGAAAATTAACTCTAGATGGATCACAGCAAAATGTAAAATGCAAAACTATAAAACTCCTAGAAAGTGACAAATAAGAAAGTCTAGATGAACTTGGGTTTGGTGATGACTTTTTAGACACAACACCAAAGGCAGGATCCAGGAAAGAAATCACTGATAAGCTGGACTTCATTACAATTTAAAATGTTTTCTCTGTGAAAGACACAGTCAAGAGAATGAAGAGATAAGCCACAGGCTGGGAGAAAATATTTGCAAAAGACATATCTGATGAAAGACTGTTATCCAAAATACACAAAGAACTCTTAAAACTCAACAATAAGAAAATGAAAAGCCTGATGAAAAAAATGGGCCAACGACACCTCATCCAAGAAGATATTCAGATGGCAAATAAGCATATAAAGAGATGCTCCATATCATATTATCAGGGAAATGCAGATTAAAACAATGATGAGATACCACTACACGCGTATCAGAATGGCCAAAATCTGGAACACTGACAATACCACACGCTGGTGATGATGTGGAGCAACAGGAACTCTCAGTCACTGCTGTGGGAACTCAAAATGATAGAGCTACTTTGGAAGACAGTTTGGCAGTTTCTCACAAAACTCAACATAGTCTTACCATTCGATTGGGCAATCACACTCCTTGCTATTACCCTAGCAAGGGGGGTTGAAAATAAGTCCACACAAAAACCTGAATGTGGATGTTTATATCAGCTTTATTCATAATTGCCAAAACTTAGAAGCAACCAACATATCCTGAAGGTGAATGGATAAACAAACTGTGGTCCATCCAGACTGTGGAATATTGTTCAGTGCTAAAAAGAAATGAGCTATCAAGCCATCCAAAGATACAGAGGAAGCTTAAATGCATATCGCTAAGTGAAAGAAGCCAATCTGAAAAGGATAGACACTATATGATTCCAACTACGTGATATCTTGGAAAAGCCCAAACGATGGAGACAGTAAAAAGATCAGTGTGTTGCCGGGAGTTGGCTGGGAGGGAAGGAGCACAGAGGATTGGCAGGGCAGTGAAATGACTATGATACCATAATGGTGTATACATTGTCAGGACCCATAGAATGTAACATCAAGAGTGAATCCCTAATGTATATATCAATATCAGCACAGGTTCACCAATTGTAGCAAATGTACCACTTTGGGGGGCTGATAATGGGGCAGGTTGTGTGTACGTGTGAGGGGGCAGAGGGATATGAGAATTCTGTATTTTCCATTCAGTTTTGCTGTGAACCTAACTGTTCAAAAAAAAAAAAAGTCTATTTTTAAAATGTATTATACAGGAAGAAGAAGAGAGAGAGCCAGGAATCCATATTTACTAAGGATTGAGACAGATGGGAGTCAATGTTTGGAGCTTTTCCTATATTATCTCGTTTAATCCTCCTACCACCACCAAAGGGTGGACACTTTTATCCCTATTTTACAGATAAGAAAACAGAGGCACACAGAGACTCAAAGAGATCACGTGACTTTCCATCATCTTCCAGCTTATAAGGGTCAGTGCTTGAATTCAAATAGAGGTTTTTGTGACTCCAAAACACTTATTTGATTCGTTAAAAGAGCTTTTGGATATAGGCACCATATAACTGCTCCAAGTACACATGGCACTTCGTTTTGAGTAAACCCCGCAGGTAAAATATCCAGATCTGAGTTCCTAAATCCAACTGGGCCTGAAACCTGATCTGTCCCTGTATTTCCTAATTATTGAGCCCAAAGTTCCCAGTTTTGATGAAATGATTTTGAGTTTGTTTTTGACACGTATTTAAAGAGGAGCTGCTTTCATTCTATCCTCTGTAAGCTAATGAACATGAGAACATCCAAATTCTTACATCCTAAGCCAACAGGAGGGACAGTATGAATAAAATAATATTCTCATATTCTAAAACAACTTGAGTAATACACATTTTAAAAAATTCCAATATACTATTCTCCTAATGTGACACACAACTACTCAAAATGGAAAAAGAGCAACTTTCCACGGAGCTGGGACGGAGTAGCTAACTTTCGAGTGGCTGATGGCAGTGTCTTCTGGTTCCAGGTGGTAGGGTTGAGGGGGAAGGTTCTGGGTACCTTGAATTCTAGGGCTCGCTCTTCCTCTTCGCATCTGCATGTTTAAGTCATTTCCCCAATCATGGTCCGTGTTTCCTTATTTCTAAACTGCAGGCGATAAAAGCTGCCCTCCCTATTGGCAATGTTGCTTAGAAAATCAAATGAGATAAAGTGCTTTACAAAGAAAAAAAGGCATACTCTATACTCACTCACTGAACTAGAGGGGGAAAAAACCCCATATTCCATACTCCTTCATTCCACACACACGTTTTTCTTTTCTGCTTTGAGCCTGCCACGTCATCTGTACAATGTAATAGCCAGACTGCTGTTCTGTGATTTATGTCCCTTCTTTTACGGATAATAATTTTCTGCTCTGCTGTTGATGGTACCAGTTAAGGGATTACCCTGGACTCATGCACACTGTAGGAAAGGCGCACAGAGCTGACACATTAGTAAATAATTCCACTAGTAGGTATTATTACCTTAAAAATAACAACTAACATGAATCAGGTATTATCTGTATGCTGGGGGTTTTAATTGTGCAAGGTGCTCTGCATATATTACTTAAATTTCCCCCAATGAAGTAGAAACTATTATTAGCCCCGTTGTACAGATGGGGATATTGAGGTTTAGAGAGCATGAGTAAATTCTCCGAGGGGAGACATTTTCAAAATGGCAGAGGTAGGATGGTTGTCCAGGCAGTACTCATTTTGGTGCTGGGCTGTCATCATGTCTGCCTCCTATGACTCAGGACAGGCTGGCTGGGGTACGGTGGGTGGGAAGGGTTCAATTCTCAGGACTCATTTTTTTAAAAATTCTATTTATTTATTTGAGAGAGAGAGCACAAGCAGAGCAAGGGGCAGAGGGAGAAGCAGACTCCTGCTAAACAGGGAGCCCAATGCGGGGCTCGATCCCAGAACCCTGAGACCATGACCTGAGCTGAAGGCAGATGCTTAACCGACTGAGCCACCCAGATGTCCCTGGGACTTGCCTTTCATGAGCCATTCACCTCCTCACCCATAACATGAGGCAAGTGGACCAAAGAATTTCTGAAAACACTTATTAAAAACATCTTCTATGGCATCCTCATACTTGAACCAAGCCCTAGAGGAGAGGTTCAGTTCAAGGGGCTGTTTGCCCTCCCCCTCCTGTTTCCTCCAGGGCCCTGCAGGGTACAGAAGACCACGGTGGGACCGCCACTGACCTGCAGGATCCCCCAAGGAGCCTGACAGCCCTGACACCTACCAATATAAGCCGCGCCGTCTGTCACCATGTACTTGTTGCGATTTAATTTAGGAAAGGTGTGATCCTTTTGTTCTTTTGTAGCACACACATTCTCTCTTTCCAGATCGAAAAATTTCTGTAAGACACAAAAATAAACAGATTAAGGAAGCAGGTGAATAAGGAACGTTTTTGGTTTTGTTCAAGAGCACAAAAGGGTTTCTTATCCAAATATCCACAGTTGGCTTCATACTGGGTTATTAAAGCCACAATCTTGTTAATTCATATAGATGAAGTATTTTTGTTCTCAAATCTTATATGGGCAACAAGAGGGAAAATTAGCATGCTCAACTAGGTCTATAATGAACACTTTTAAGCTGCAAAATGAACACAAAATTCATTCTTTCAACAAGGTGAGGGCCAGAAGGTTTTTAAATTCTCATTGTCTTATTCATCGGGGTGCACTGGCATTTGAGGTCTGCCTCAGGGTGCTTTCTGTCATGCATGCCAATGACCTGAATGAATATTCCTCTGTGTTGCATACATTATAAAAAGCAGCAGGCCCATGTCAATGACTAGCTGATTCAGCTGGGGATTTGCAAAGGTCAAAAGAGATTTTGCCAAGGGGACAAACCTAGGTCTACAAGCTTTTTTAATAAGAAGCCAAAAAAATCACCACTTCAAACTATGAATCCTGACTTTCAACTTTAATGTGACCCCAAAAGCACCTCAGGCCTGGGGCTATGGGGGGCTGACAGTGGAGGTAGGCAGGCTGGTGTTTCCAGAATCTGCTGGAATTCCTAACTGCTCAGATGAGGCCCGAACTGTGACCGAGCTCACAGGATGACACACCATCAAAAGTGAGCTCTTGAGTCTCCTTCACACTGGAAAAGGCTGAACATATCCAGAACTGCATGGAATCTTTCTGGAATGAATGTCTTAGGGCTGTGGGATCATGCATGTTTGAAAGGAAGAAGAGGCAGAGAGAAAAATGAGATGTTATCTAGAGAAATGGAGACGTCATACAGTTTTAAAACTGTTCAAGTTTGCCTTGGGGAAATAGTGAGGGCTCATCTTCCCCTTCATCCCAGAGTAGGAAAGGAGTGATAAACTAAGTGTGATCACCAAGGTCCCTAATAGCCCTGAAAATTCTATTCCAATTTTTTGCAAGACCCCTTGAGATCAATGGCGCGCCCACCAAAATCTATCACCTGGGAATGGTCCATTGCACATCACAGAGGAAGGTATTACCCAGAGCCATATTACCATGATGGTAGGCAATGCTGCCTCGATCCCCCTTCTCCACAGTTCCTGTCTCCTGCAAAATCTGTGTCATTTGGAGGGTTCACAGTTGGCCACATTTTGTGGATTCTTCACACAGACTTGATGACCTGTGGATGCTCTTAAGTCATAGTTATGTATCTGGGAAGCCCTGTGGTATTTCCCCAACCCTGCCTGCCACCCGGTAACAGCAGTCACCCTGCTCAGACATTCTGTTACAACACATGTCCACACACTCCACCTCCTCCTTTTGAGAAAAATATTATTGTGGAATCAAGATGGATGTGAAAAAGAATAAAATATACATCCTAATTTATGTTGGGGATGGCATCACTGCTTGGCACTCTACAGAGACTCATCTGCTCTAGAAAGTTGAAGATGGCCCCCAAGAAGGAAAAAGCTTTGTCTGGGAGATGAAAATGGCAGCAGGAATCACACTGTATTCACTGACATACCACAAGACACCTAATGTGCTGTAGGTGACAGCAAAGACTGTCCAAAAGGGATTTATGAATTCATTGAAAAATAAAAGCCCAGCTGATAGGGTCAACTTTGTGACTGCAGTCTCTTTTCCAGGTGTCCCCTAATGGATACAACCCCTGCCACCAAGCCAGGGCTGTGGGTGCCCACTCCTCTGAAGAAAGATTCCCTGCCTTGTAACCAGGACTTCTGCTTTGTCAGGGATCCCAGGCTCCAGAAGAAATGCTTCAAGGAATGTTCCAATGCCCACCTGTCTTGAAAAAGCTCCTCACCCACCTGTGTTCTAGATGTTGGGGCCACAGGCTGTGTTCCCACTGAGGCTTATGTTGACGCTTAGAAATGCATGGCCTGGCTTGAGTGAGGACCAGAGTCTCTACGTCATGAAATGTCCAACGGTGAACTACTAATGATTGGTCTATTCAAGTAATGTGACCATGGATGTTGGAAAAGATGGAGCTGAGTAAGTAGAGAATAAAAGGATGGATTCTACTTTCCTTATAATTTCTTGCAAGTCTTAAATGAGAGCACAATATTTCACAATGGAGATTTCAACTGATAGTGCCTTCGAGAAGAGGTGGGAGCAAAGGCACAATGTGTGGTAGGCTCCAGACATTCTCTCCTCTGCTTCTGTTTGTATTAGTCATGTCTTCTTATTTTCTGTGTTCTGATGCTTTGACATCTGAGCCCTGCTGAGCCTGGAGGGACTGCCCTTCCGAGGGCTGGCTAATTTCTGGAGATAGCAAAGAACTTGCCTGGGAATGCACTTCTCATACTTAAAACCATGGCCCATACCCTGAGTCACCTCCTTTATGGCTCACACTGGGCCACTATCCACTTGCCCTAATCACCCCAGGGCCAGGTACCAGGCACCAGGCAACTAGGGACAGCCCCTGGGCCCTAGAGCCCACCGAAATCATTCAAACTTGCCAATCCTAAGTGGGCTTACTCTGCCTTGCCTCTTCCCCAACCCTGTAAACCAAAACAAAAGTTCTTGTCCATGCTTCCCTCACTCCTGCCTCCCGGATGACCCTGGGGCATCCCTTCATGCCCCCTTCTCTTGAGATCTGTGAATAAAACAAATTTGCCTTTCCAATGGCCACCATTTCCTGATCTGTTGGCATTGTCATATCTAAATCATAATCAAACTTGTATTTTAGAACACTGCTAAACTTGGTAGGTCTGACAGTGGTGCTCCTCTATCTGCAAGCATACTGAACTGAGTGAATGACCTCACCTGGCAGATTCTTCACCCTTCTCCAGCACACCCTCTTTAGGGAAAATGGCTAAAATGACTCCATATCTACCATGCTCCCTGCTCCCTCCACTCACTGGTTCACAGATCCTTCCTGAACATGCTTCATCAGCTCCTTTTTTTGATTTTATCCATCCATCCACCCATCCATCCATCCATTCAACACATATGTTTTGAATTCTTTGTGCCAGCATCCTGCTAGGCACTAGGAATACAATGCTTCACTTGATTTTCTATGCTGTCCTATATGCCACTTCAGTTATCTGGAAAATGCCATCCCTGGGCTGAAAACAATCCCCAGGATTCTCTTGTCCATGGAAAGGTACTGAACACAAACTGACTATTCTCCTGGGTCTCTGCCTGGCTTTCTGGGAACACACCAGTGTTTCCTCTAATCCCTGATTCCTGATTCTAAACTGAGGTTGGTGCTCGAATCCAACTCCTGGTTATCACATTCACTTGTAAATCTGGTGTGGAAAATAGATCCATAGTAGTAATCATAGACCTGTTTCTTCTTCCCATTTTATTGAGGAGTAATTAACATCTATCACTGTATAAATTTAAGTTGTACTGCATCATGGTTTGATTTACACATTATTGTGACATGATCACAATACATTCAGCTAACATCTATCTTCTCATATAGATAAAATAAAAAGATAAGAAAGAAGAAAAGAATAAAGACAAAAATTTCTCCTTGTGATGAGAACTCTTAGGATTTCTTTTCTTTCTTTTTTTTTTTTTTTTAAGATTTTATTTATTTATTTGACAGAGAGAGACACAGAGCAGGAACACAAGCAGAGGGAGTGGGAGAGGGAGAAGCAGGCTTCCCGCCGAGCAGGGAGCCCGATGTGGAACTCGATCCCAGGACTCCGGGATCATGACCCGAGCCGAAGGCAGCCGCTTAACGACTGAGCCACCCAGGTGCCCTAGGATTTATTTTCTTAACAACTCTCCTACATATCATGTAGCAGTGTTAGCTGCAGTCATCATGTTGTATGTTAAATCCCTAGTACTTATCTTGTAACTGGAAGTTTGTACCCTTTGACCACCTTCCTCCAATTCCCTGTCTCCCCTACCCCACCCTCCACCTCTGGTAACCACAAGTCTGATCTCTTTCTCTATGACTTTTTATTTTTTTTTAATTTTATATTCCACATACAATTGCTATCCTACAGTACTTGTCTTTCTCTGACTTATTTCACTCAGAATAATGCCTTCAAAGGTCCACCCATGTTGTCAAAAAGGTATTATCTTATTTTTATAGCCAAATAATATTCCTTTGTATAGATATGCCACAACTTCTTTATCCATTCATCCATTAATGGGCATTTAGATTGTTTCTATGTCTTGGCTACTGTGAGTATTGCTGCTATGAACATGAAGGTGCGGATACCTTTTTGAGTTAGTGTTTTAGTTTCCTTTGGTTATATTCCCATAAATAGAATTGCTAAATCATATTGTAGTCCTATTTTTAATTTTTTGAGGATTCTCCATACTATTTGCCCTGGTGGCTGCACCAATCTACATTCCCACCAATGGTGCACACAGGATCCCTTTTCTCCACATCCTCACCAGCATTTGTTATCTTTGTTTTTTTGATGATGGCTGTCCTAACATGCATGCTATGGTATCTCACAGTGGTTTTGATTTGCATTTCCCTAATGACTGGCAATGTTGAGCATCTTTTCATGTACCTCTTGGCCTTTTGTATATCTTCTTTGGAGAAATGTCTCTTCAGGTCCTTTGTCCATTTTTTAATTGGGTTATTTGCTATTCAGTTGTATGAGTTTTTGATGTATTTTGGATATTAAGCTCTTATCAGATATATGCTTTGCAAATATTTTTACCCTTCCATAGGTGGTCTTTTCACTGTTTCTTTTTTATTTTGTTGCTTGTATTTTAGGTGTCACATCCAAAAAGTTATTACCCCAATCCATGTTAAGAAACTTCATTCCTGTGTTTTCTTCTAGGAGTTTCATGGTTTCAGGTCCCACATTTAAGTCTTTAATCCATTTTGTGTTAATTTTTGTGAGTGGGGTATGATATGGGTCCAGTTTCATTCTTTTATATGTGAATATCCAGGTATCCCAGCACCATTTGTTGACAAGATTATTTTTTCTCCATTGAGTATTCTTGGCTCCCTTATCAAATATTAGTTGGCTACATATGCTTGGGTTTATTTCTGAGCTCTTGGTTCTATTCCATTGGTCTATTTGTCTGTTTTTATGCCAGTACCATATTTGATGACCATAGCTTTATAGTATAGCTTGAAATCAGGAAGTGTGATACTTCCTTCTTTGTTCTTCTTTCTCAAGATTTCTTCAGCTATTCAGGGTCTTTTGCAGTTCCACATAAATTTTATGAGTGTTTTTTCTTTTTTTTTTTAAAGATTTTATTTATTTATTTGACAAAGAGAGACACAGCGAGAGAGGGAACACAAGCAGGGGGAGTGGGAGAGGGAGAAGCAGGCTTCCCGCAGAGTAGGGAGCCCGATGTGGGACTTGATCCCAGGACCCTGGGATCATGACCTGAGCTGAAGGCAGTCGCTTAACCAACTGAGCCACCCAGGCACCCTATGAGTGTTTTTTCTACTTCTATAAAAATGCAATTGGAATCTTGATAGGACTGCATTGAATCTATAGATGGCTTTTGGTTGTATTGATATTTTAACAATATTAATTTTTCTAATCCATGAATGTGGGATACCTTTCCATTTTTTTGCATTGTCTTTGATTTCTTTTATCAATGTCTTATAGTTTTCAGCATAGAGATTGTTTATCTCCTTAGTTAAATTTATTCCTATGTATTTTATTGTTTTGATGCCAGTATAAATGGGATCCATTTCTCTTTTTTTTCCAGAAATTTCACTGTTAGTGTGTAGAAACACTACTGATTTTTGTATTTTCATTTTGTATCCTGCATCTTTACTGAATTCATTGATTAAATCCAACATTTTTGGGGGTTGAGTCTTTAGGATTTTCTATATATAAAATCATGTCATCTGCAAATAGAGACAATTTTGCCACTTCCTTTTCAATTCTGATACTTTTTATTTCTTTTTCTTGCCTGATTGCTCTGGCTAGGACTTCCAATACTATGTTGGATAGGAAAGGTAAGAGATGGAACACTTGTCTTGTTTCTGATCTTAAAGGAAAAGCTTTCAACTTTTTATCATTGAGTAAGATGTTAGCTGTAGGTTTCACAGACCCGTTTCTATTTCTAATACTGATTTGTGAACTCAGACATGTGCATGGCTACTCAGTTTATAAAAACCAGTTAAATGGAGATAGAAATTTCTATTTTATATCAATATTATTAGAGTGTTAGGGAGATTAAAATGAAATCTATGTGAGAAGCATAATTTTTTGAAATCTACAGTAAATCCTAGAATTTTATGGCTTTATATGATTGATAACTTCAACTTAAAAAATATTTAATGTTATGAATGAGTTAACATTTTATCTGATATTTTTGTTGATCCCACAGATATATAAGTCAGATGTGTAGCATCTCAAGTCTTTGAGCAGATGTAATATATGACGTTTTTCAATATAGATAGGAAAGACAAAAAAAAGAACTTTGTAACTTCAATTATCTGTTCTGCATGCAGAGACCATGCACTATGATATCTAAGAGCTCAGACTCTGGAATTAGAAAGACTTGTATTTTCCTTAACTTTATTTTTACATTAATAATGTATATATTGGCAATGATCTCATTAAAAATATATGAATAAAAATAAATATGAATAACATTGTAAAAATTAGTAATTCAGTAATTCTACTTTTAAAATTGGCACAGAAAAAATTTGTATGTTTGGTAATGTTGCATTTGTTGCAGCAAAAGTTGTAAGACTATGTTAAAGCTTTTCGTATTTGCTGTGTGAGCATTTTGTAAAACACTGAAAGTAGTCTGAGATAGTACAAGAGATCATTTCTTATGACTTATTTTATATCATTTGTTTTCCTCATCCTAAAAAGTTGAATAAAATCTGTTCAGTTCAGTTCTACACACACACACAAGGAAAGAAGGAAGGAAGGAAGGAAGGAAGGAAGGAAGGAAGGAAGGAAGGAAGGAATGAAGGAAGGAAGGAAGGAAAGAAAAGAAAGAAAGAAGAAAGAAAGAAAGAAAGAAAGAAAGAAAGAAAGAAAGAAAGAAAGAAAGAAGAAAGAAAGAAAGAAAGAAAGAAAGAAAGAAAGAAAGAAAGAAAGAAAGAAAGAAAGAAAGAAAGGCTTGTATTTGAATCTTTCTCCTCTATTAACGAGTGTTCTGGAGAGAAATTATTTAATCTCTTTAGGCTTCATTTTCTATGTCTTTACAATATAAAAGTTCCTGCTTCACAGTGTAGTTGTGAATATTAAGTAGTACATACAAAGTATTTAATGCAGTGCCTGTTGCTTGTCTATACTCATGAATATAAGAAATTCCTTATTTAAAAAAAATATTAAGCACTTACTACATCTAGGCAAAGTGAAGTGAGATGGTGCCCTAATAGCAACAATAAAACTTAATAAAAGATGTAGCAATGGTTTACCCAATGGGCAGCAGGCAACAAGGAAATTGGTATTACAGGATAGAAAGAATGGAGACCCAAGCAGTGGCAAAATATTTGGTAAAACCATAACTTGCATTAATTTGGAACGAAGACCAAGCACCCCCCCCCAAAAAAAAACCAACTATGGCTACAGGTCAAGGGATGGGAAAACAAACTGTTAGTAGTATATGTTGGTTGTTATTAGTACTTTTAGGAAGTTATCAGAGGAGACAAATAAGCTCAGAGATGGATTTGCTGGCTTGCAAACCGATATGAAAGAGAGCAGATACACTAGAAATTTGGTATTTCAAAGGGTTAGAAAAACTGATTGTGCCAGGAGCCCAGGAGTATAAAATTAGTTTGAAAAATGCTTTAAGTGACTGAGGCCAGTTAAGACTCAATCCTGCAGCAAAGATCAGATAACTGGAATAATCATAATTGGTATAATCTTCCCACCCAAGTCTGATGACCTGAATGAAACCACCATTAATAAGAAAGAGGAGCGAGAGGGAGAAGGGGGGGGGGGAAGGGGGAGAAAAAAGGAGAGAGGGGGAGGGAGGGAGAGGGAGGCAGAGGCAGAAGTATATAGGCAAGGAAGCATATTGGTCAAGTTTGGGAACTATGTACAACAAAACCTTTGGCTGTGGCTACTGGTACATACATTCACTGGCCTTCTTCTGTCCCTGGTATATGGGGAGGAGGTAACTTCAACCTGGGTTTTGGGTTTCGTGGGAAATTGCTGTTTTGTTTTTAGTTTCTGTTTATTGAACTATGAGGTCCAGAACTGCACATCTCTGGGAGGTTTTGAACTTTGCACTGTGCAGTACCTGTGGGGGATGAGGGTTCTCTGTGTGGGTGCAGACTGATGATCCACCAACCTGTCCCTTTGTCTTTTGGGGAACATGCCACCTCTGACATTCGGTGTGGCCAGGTGAGTGACTTCTGAGCAGCAGAATAAAGGCTAAAGGGAGGTTCACCATCTCCAGGCCCACCCCATAAATGCCTCCTGGGCAGTCCTCCATTCTCTCTCTCTCCTTTTGATTGGCCCTGGGATGCTGAGGGTTGGGACTATCTTGGAAGCTATGTGTCAGAGTGGATGGTGGCACCCCTGTCATCCTGGTCCCTAAATACTGCATGGAGCACAGACCCATCACCCAAAAGTGTGCCTGGCGCAGAGTAGAGTCTCAGGGTACATTTGCTGAATGACTGCAGTGGAGGTTGGAAAAGGTGAGCCCTAAAGAACTAGCGGGCATTAGTCAGATAAGGCACAGAGGAGGAGAGTGCTGTAGGCAGAGGGAACAGCATTATACAGAGGCCCAGAGGGGAGGAAGAGGGAATCCATGTGAGGACCTGAGAGTCAAAGATGAGCTAAGGCATTACCACACTGAGAGTAAAACCCTTTCCCAATCTTGTTTCCCTCAAAGTATATGGATTAGCATGTGGCCCCAAGGACTGGAGCAAGAACAGGAGCTCAGGCTGGGGGTCTCTGGGGCTGGGGGAGGCTGTGGAGAGCAGAGCCGCTGCTGGTCACAGACTTAGAAACAGGAATGGCAGGTGAACGAAGCAGTTCAAACAAAGCAGAGAGGGCCCAACAGGCAGTGTGTGAAAATAGGGCGAGGCCAGGAGGGCACCAGCAAACATGGGTTCCAGGCTCCTTTTCTCATGTGTTTGTTTGTTTGTTTGTTTTTAAAGATTTTTTATTTATTCATTTGAGACAAAGAGATACAGAGAGAGAGAGAGAAAGCATGAGCAGGGAGAGAGGCAGAGGCAGAGGGAGAAGCAGGCTCCCCGCCGAGCCAGGAGCCCAATGTGGGGCTTGATCCCAGGACCCCGGCATCATGACCCGAGCTGAAGGCAGATGCCCAACCATCTGAGCCACCCATGTGTTTGTCTTGAAAAAAATACTTATCCTACTTTTGAAATATTTTCTCACTATCAGAGACTGTTATCCTGGTTCTTAATTGGCAGTTTACATGAATGCATGTGCTTATGGCTTTCACAGATGTGGGGAGGGAATCAGCCCTTTTTATTTAATAATACTGAAGTCAATATCATACTTACAACTTTCAAACTGCAGTTGGCTATTTCAGTGCAAATAGCTTTAAGAGATGAAATAAAGTTAAATGTAAGGGGGTCAGTTTCCTTCCAGAAGCTTATAAGGAGTCGAACTTTAACGCTTCGCAAAACTAATGCTTCTCTTATTTTCCCATCCAAGTCTGGCCAGTAAGTCCTGTAGGAATAATATCCATGTGGATAAAAATAAAGAAAATAAGTTAGTTTGGGGAAAGAAATTTACTAGACTGCAAAGAACATTTATATTAACCCAATCATTACTTCGTTCTGTAATATAGACACAACCTGATAGAATATGTTGAAAACATGCAGATCTCCTGGATTGGGCACCTAGAGAGGATGCTTTCTTGGGTCCTGACTCTGCCTGAAATGAATTCTTCCACCACTGGGATCTCAGAGGATGTGGAGAGATTGACCTCCATCACCTGCTATCCTCACCATTCCTGCACCACCTCAGCTCACATGTGTGCTGAGAGTCAACTTTCCAACAGAATTCCTGTTCAGAGCCTTGAGCACCCCATCAGCCCCCAAAGGCTGTGAGAACCCCTCTTCTTTGGAAACTGCCCCCCAAATGAGCTTCTGCTCTGATTATCCAAACTTCCCCATACTCTCATTTCCAGGCTGTCTTCCTCTTTCCTGACCAAGCCCCCAGCTACTCTGGCCCTTGGACTTCTCCACCAGGCCAACAGTGTCTCCTGGAGGCTCAGCCTCTTCCCTGAATCTGTAGCTTTTTGCCTTAACTAAATCCTGACTCTTCCTGAGGCCATAGCTTCTCTGGAAGTCCTGCCATGTTATTTTCTACCACAATTTACCCACTTGGTTTAGGAGGTGGGGTCAGCCCTCCCAAAACACACACAATGTCACTTCCAGAACTGTCACTGATTTCTCATTTAAAAAAACAACAACAAACATTTCTATCTTAAAGACAAGCCCCAAATCTATCTCTCCTCAGCCCCAACATGTGTAGACCTTTGTTTGTTCACTGGTTCAAACCTTTCCCTAACTCCAGGCCAACTCAGTTTGGACTGATACAGTTTTATTCAAAACCTTAGCCTGCAGGTTTTGTAATCAGTGCACCTCCAAAGTTCTCCTCTTTATATGGACCAGCCTGTGGTCCTGCAGCGTCCTGCACTCTATGAAATCCCCACTGAGCACGCTCTTGCCCTACATGGGCTCAGCCACATGACCCCCTCACTCTCCTGCTCCATCAGCTCTGGGTCACCTTTCCGACCGAGCCCAACCTCAGTGATCACCTGAAGAACACCTTCCCTGCCCCTCTCTCTAGCTCTTGGGTCAGAGCCACACATCCCTTGGTCTATTTCTATGGCCACAAAACCAAGGACTGCTGAACAAAGTTAGCTCAGCCCTGTGAACTGAGGCCCTTGCCACCATCCACCTCCCCTGTCCTCGCCTTGGGCAGTTCCTCCTCTGGGACCTTTCTGTAATTACTCTAAATTAGATCTCACTCCAGAGAAACTTGTTTCTTCCTCCATGCACAAAATAGAGCTTCTCGGTCATGGTCTTCCTCAACTTTCTACCCCTGAGAGCCTCACACATCCTTCTCCCCTTTCCCCCAGCTCAGAGGATAAGGCAACCTGCTCAGGGTCAGACCTGGACCACCTTTCCCCCTGGGCCATTCCCCTGACCTTCTAACTGTGTTTCATTGGTCATTCCTTCCCAAAGAGTGTTTCAACTCCCCCCTCTCTCCCTTCCTCTTAGTTTGAGAATAAAATGTAAATCTTGCTCAGAGAACCCTCCCCTGACTCTGCATCGCTCCATGGCTGGTGTACAATCTCTTTTCCCTTTTGAACTAAACTATCTATCATCTATCTATCTATCTATCTATCATCTATCTATCTATCTATCATCTATCTATCTATCTATCTATCATCTATCATCTATATCTATCTATCTCTCATCTTTGAGTGTAGCTGACACACAATGTTACATTAGTCTCAGGTGTACAACACAGTGATTCAACATCTCTATATGTTACGCTGTGCTCAGCACACAGCTGCCATCTGTCACCACACAACACTGTCACACGATCATCGAGGATATTCTCTGTGCTGTGCCATTCATCCCTGTGATTTACTCATTCCACAGCTGGAAGCCTGTACCTCCCTCTCCCCTTCACCCATTTTGCCCATCCTCCTGCCCCTCCCCTCTGGCGCCCATCAGTTTGCTCTCTGTCTTTATGGGTCTGTTTCTACTTTTTTGAACATAACTTCTTGACAGTATAATCTAGAACCTCTGACTTTACTTCATCACCCCCACTCACTCCTCAGCCTACTGCCCCCTGGCCTCCAGCCCACCATTTTTGTGCAAAATCTCCAAGTCTGCAGTGATGTCCCAACTGCCAAATCTAATGGACATCATTCAATTCTTACTTTACTGTTAGTTTAAGTCACATGTGGCTCTGTCGATGGTTCTTTTCTTCTTGAAAACAGATTCCATTGGCTTCTATGACCCTGTGGTTTGATGATCTGTCCCTTATTTCTCACAGTGTTTCTTTATCTGTTGTATGGTCCATGCTCCCTTAAGATTCCATCACCATCCCCTGTTCTCCTTACTCCACAGGCCATCTCCTTGGTGGCTTCATCTACGTACTTGATCTCAACTGTCCTCTAGAGTCTGAAAAGCTCCAAATTCACATCACTGGCCTAACCCTCTTCAGACTTCATTCTGGATATCTTTGTAAGATATCCGGACCTTTACAAGAACCTCAAATTCACAAATCTGCCCATTTCCTTCTACTTCGTACAGACTCTCTACTTTGTATGACGTTCATTATCTAATCACCCAAAGCAAAAACCTGGTTATCATTCTTGTGCCTGCTCTCCTTTTCACCATGTGCTTCAGAGATATTCCTGGAATGTATATCCTTTATTCTATCCTGTAATTATCCCTGACTGGGCCACTGTAACAGCTCCAAATTTGTTTCTCGGCCTCCAGTCTTGTCCCTGTCAAGTATGTCTTCCATGACCACCAAAGCGATCTATCTGAAAGCATATCTCCTTTGACTGAAACGTAGTGGAGGCTCCCCAAAGTCACAAGACTCCCTCACAGTCAGGTCCTCCTGTCCCTGATCCCTGCGTTCCCTCCAATTTGATCTCTCACCACCTGTGTTCCAGCACTGAACTTGTTACAGATCCTGGCATGTGCCAGGTGATTTTTTTTTTTTTAACTTGTGCTGTCCCTTCTACCTGGAAAACTCCCTTTCTTATCCTTTGTTTGATTAACTTCTGCATATTTTAAAAGGTAATCAAGTAGCATATCCTCCAATAAGCCTCTGCTTGAAACTGCCACAGATGCTCTTTCACTGAGGACCTATAATATTATGTGTATATATCTATTGTTCGATTCCCCGCACTGTGTTATTATAATAGATTCTGTGTCCGTTTGTCCTATTGGATGGAGTTCCTGGGACCATACACTGTTCAGACTTTAATCACTCCTGCACAGTGCCCAATAAATATCTGTTGAATGAAAACATAAGTGAAAAATATTAATAGCCCACAGACTAATCAGTCTACTTTTTTCTTATTGAATAAATTTGATGAGTAACATTGTGTAAATTTAATAAGCTATACAGCATGTTACTTTGGTACATTCTTATATTGTAATATGATTGCCAATGTACTGATAGTCACCACATTACATTATTACAGTATAATATTCATAGCACATTAGCTCTCTATGACCTATCTACTACTCATTACAAGTTTGCAGTCTTAAACGCCATCACTCTTATCCCTCACCCCCCAGCCATTGGTAACCTTCATTTTACTGTCTGTTTCTACAGGTTTAACTTTTCTAGATTCCACATAGACGTGATATCATACAGTACTTGTCTTTTTCTGTCTGACTTGTCTCGCTTAGCATAATGTATGCAAGGTCCATCCATGTTGGTGCAAATAGGAAGATATTCTCCTTTCTCGAGGCTGAGTAATATTCCATTGTGTATATGCACCACATCTTTTCATCGATTCATCCACTGATAGGCATTTGTGCTGTTTCCATATCCCTGCTATTGTGAAAAGTGCTGCAATAAACGTGGGAGTACATATATCTCATCAGAATCCTGTTTTCGTTTCCCTTGATTAAATACCCAGAAGTGGAACTGCTGGATCGCATGGTAGACTTATTTTAATTTTGGGGGAACCTCCATATTGTTTTCCATAGTGGTTGGATCAATTTATCTTTCTTCCAACTGTGTATAAGGGTTCCCTCGTCAGCATCTGTTGTCTCTTGACTTCTTGATGACAGCCCTTCTAACATGTGTGAGGTGATATCTCATCATGGTTTTGATTTGCCTTTCCCTGATGATTAGTGATATTGATCATCTTTCCATGTGTCTGTTGCCATTTTGATGTCCTCTTTGGAGAAATGTCTGTTTAGTTCTTTTGCCCATTTTCAATCATATTATTTGCTTTTTGTTGTTGTTGTTATTGAGTTGCCTGAGTTCCTTACAGATTTGGATATTAACTCTTTATCCAATATATGGTTTGCAAAAATTTTTCCCCATTCTGTAATCTTTTTATTTTGTTGTTTCCTTTGTTGCGCAAAACTTTTTGAGTTTGATATAGTCCCATTTGTTAATTTTTTGTTATTGTTGTTTGTGCTTTTGGTGTCATGTCAAAAAAATTATTAGCAAGACCATTATTGATGAGCTTTTTCCCTATCTTTTCGTCTATGAGTTTTATGATATCAGGTTTTATCTTTAAGTCTTTGATCTATTTTGAATTAATTTTTGTGAGTCGTGTGATAGTGGTCCAACTTCATTGTTCTGCATGTTTTTCTCCAGTTTCCCAGCACCATTTGTTGAAGAGATTGTCCTTTCTGCATTGAGTGCTCCTGGTGCCCATGTTGAATATTAGTTGACTGTATAGGCCAGGGTTTAGTTCTGGGCTCTCTATTTTGTTCCATTCATTGGTGTTGTCTATTTTTGTATTGTTTTTATTACTATGGCTTTGTCATATAGTTTGAAATCAGGAAGTGTGATGCCTTGAACTTTGTTCTTTTTCTCAGGATTGTTTGGGCTGTTTAGGGTCTTTTGTGGTTCCATACAAATTTTAAGGTTATTTCTTTTATTTCTGTGAAGAATGTTTTTGGTATTTCGATGGGGATTGCATTGAATCTGTAGATCACTTTCAG